TTCAGAAATTTACAAAATAGTCACAAACTCTCTACGTTTTGCCTGAAGCCTAGTTGAGGCCATTGGATTTGAACCCTGAATTATCAAAGGGTTCATAGGATTAATTAGGACTGTAGGTAACATTTACAAAACAGTGGGAAATCGCATGATATTTGGCATGTTTGGACATGAGAAAATGTCTGTAGTAGAGCAAAAATTTTCAGGGTGCAAAATCACATTGGTAAGACTTTCAAAATATCCATTAAGTTCTTTCAAATAACTTGATGTTTTTGAGGATAGGCATTATAATGGTAGTTATGCACTGGCAAAATGGTGTGGTGGAAATAAAGGAAGGGAAATATTACTATTTTATTTTTATAAAAATTTAGTTGAAAAAGGTTGCTGAAAAAGTACATAAAATCTGTCAGCACTTTAAAAAAAAATCACTGTGTGTTTCTCCATATGCAATTACATCTTGTTCTGACACTGATGAATCAGGGAGAGATCAGGATGAATGCTCTCATAGATATAAAATAGGACAACATGATCCCCTTTGAAGGTAGCTGTCTTGCTGAGATGTATGTGTGTAGAAATATCTTTGTATATACTATACGTAGACCAGAGTACTTCCAGAACTGATATGATCTGAGTTCAATAGCAAGTGGGGCACCTTGTCTCAATAACATTAGTTTCCCCAATGTCTCAAGCATGAAAGCCTACAACACAATTGATCACATGGATTTTTCAGCATCTGTTCATTTTTACTTTTAGGATACTGGCAGGTAAAAGAGGACTGAATTTCCATTGAAGTGCTTAGAGGTCTGAGCAGTGGAATTTACCGCCCTTGAATACTACAACTATTCGGTTAAGTTCCCAAACTTAATTTAGCGAGACTTTGACCGATACAAACAACACGTTCATCAAATTGATGTTTGGTGTAAGTAACAAATACGCTGAGAATAATGTACCTCTACTGCAACCAGATAATTCAATGGAGTTACATCATGGTTGAATTATAAATCTAAATCATGTACAGGACAATTCCATTAAATTAGCTGTTGCAAAAGAGGTGCTTCTTAACGGATATAGCTTTATTATAGAGATGCATATATATGTGTGTGTATATGTACATATACATTGCTGGTATTGTTAAGTATTAGTAGAAAAACTCACAGGACTTTTTTCAAATGCTAGACCAGAAAATCATACATTATTTTGTACATAGAGTTTTTATATCTTTTAAATTAAAAACTGCAAAGAAATTTACAAGCAAAAAAGTTATGATATTTATAAAAAAAGCATTTTTTTCATATATCTCACAGTGGAAACAGAAAGGACATCACGTGTCATTTTGCTCTTATATATCTTGAATTCTTAGCCATCTAGGGTCACTGTTGTACCGAGGTTTCCCAACCATCTCCTGCTTTGGAAAAGCTATCCTACAGTGCAATACTGACATGGTTTAGTGTCTTGGTGCACACACAGCACAACTGACACAACCTCTGTTTTCCTTGGCTTTATACTCCTGATTATCTTTTTTTTAAAATAACATTGATTTATTAGATATCTTTCTTAGCACAATATGTCTTTTGATTTATAATATTTATAGTATATTATACTATTATATTTATAGTATTTAAAATAGATTTTTTTCAAAGTCATTATGATATATGTGGACAGTTTATAGAATATGCAAATTCTTTTTAACTGAAAATATTATTTTTATGAAGTGTTTACAACATTAGTGGACATAACAGAGTCAGTTGATGTATGGAGCCAGGGTTGGGAGGAGGAGGGGTGTTAAACAGCTTGTATGCCTCTAGAGAAAGAGAGAAATGTTTTCAAAATTTATGTGTTGAATAAGAGTTAAAAATGACAAACAAAATTATACTTCATGATGCTTTAAAAAAAATTACTTTGTTGCAATCTCACATCTAACAAATTACTGAAATGTCTTGAATCTAATTTAATGGTTGTAAAATTATTTGCTGATGAAAATTTCCTATTTTATGTGCTGGTGAGAAAAAAATACCAAAATATTGCTTGGGAACGCAAAAGGTTTTTCTTTTATCTCCCTGTTAACACTTTGCATGATAATGGAAGACAGTACTTTATACTACAGGCTAAACTGTCATTGATTTTAGCGGGAATGCTATTTGCATGTATGCTTTAAGAGACAGGCAACAAACAATGGGGGGAGGGTTTATATATTTTTTATAAATGCAATAAAACAATACTTTAAACGACGTAAAACAAAACGGTAAAAATTGCATCTGGCAGTGAACTGCAGTGACTTATTTCATTAGCTTTAAAACCAGTATGTTTCCTTTATCAAAAGGGTAGATAAGTGTGCTTTTGAGATTTTTGTATCCTGCCACATTTTCATGGATTATCTCATTTCCCTCTGTTTTGCGTCCCTCTCCCCTTTAGATCTGTATCACAGCCACTGCTCTGCTCATGATGGGGGCCTGAGCGCGCTTCCCTCTGCAGCAGTCCAGGGGTATACCGTGCTCAGGTTGTGTCAGCAACCAGGCGAGCAACCCCTCTGCAACTTTCCCAGCTCCTGCGAGCTGAGACACCGAAAGCAGAAATACACACTTCCGACAAAATCTCAGTTGATGTAAATTGGCAATGACCCACTGGTTTCGTGGAGTTACATTAGTATGCACCAGTGGAGAAGCTGAACCTTGAACTGAAAAAAACCCCAAGCCAAATAATTTTTTATTGTGTTTAGTAAACGCAACCTTAGGATTTTGGAGCCAGTAGGAAAATTACTATGCCCTAGTTGGGTAATTCTTTATCTTTCATGAGTTATTAGCTTCAGTTTTTACCGATAACAGAATAAAAGCTGAAAACATTGCCTCTCCCCCAAAAGGGTGACACACAGTGCAGCTGCAGACCCCCCACCTCGTCGTGCCTCAACCTGATGGTGGTGCCTGACCTGGAGACCCAGTTCTGTGCGCCTCAGAGAGAGAGCCCGGGCTCCCCAGGGAGGAGGGCGAAGCCTGCCGACAGAGTGAGTCCCAAAGCAAGCTGTGGCCTGTCAACTCTAGGTTTCAGGTTTTCAGCCAGATACTAGTGTCAATTTTCAAATCTCACTGATTCTGACCAACTCTTAAGCGTGGAGAAATGAATGATCTGGAACTCATAAAGCACCCAATCTGCCATGCTCGTAACACGTATATGCTGATACGCATGTACTCTTACAAAGAGGGTTCTGAAGTATTGTATTACGTGGCCTTTTCATGGGTTCATTTGCAAGAAAACAAATTCATGCTTCTTTGATTTTTTTGTAAAAATACCTAATTTTATTTTTCTAAATTTAGATGTGTTTTCCAGGTGGATTTTCCATCAGAAGTAAGGCACAACTGGCACCATACATCTAGTTCTCATGTCCCAGATTTTAGTGGTAAAATAAAACCCAGACTTAAGTGCCACAGTTTAGGATGTGAATATGAAAAAAAAAAATGTATAGCCCATTTTTATCAGGAAAACTAAAGCTTAATCAGAAGCTTGTGTTCCAACTACTGTGCTTATTACTTTTGGTTTTATGTAATCAAGGCCACTTGCCTTTACTTTTACCGTTACTTACAATTTTTTAAGTTCTAGCTACAAGTTTTCACTAGATGGCAGGGTTCCACTGTCATCTATTATCAGTGGCTTTACTTGCAAAGCAACAGTTGCCCATTGGTACGAGAAAATTTAAACATGTTCAAATTTTGCAAAATAAAAAAAAAAACAAACCCCAAAACCAAAAAACGTAACAGTAATGAAAAAAATTATACATACACTCATTAAATCATAACACTGTTACTGAATATGGTTAATGTTATCAGCTGGAAATCATTGAAAATAATAGTGAAAGATGTTTTCTTGACAGAGGAACTAAAAGGACCTTCTCTTGTAAAATGAGGTAGACTTACTGTTTCTGCTATTTGTGAAAAAGTTAACTAACCAGTAAATTAAATTTAACTAATAAATACATTGACAGCTCAAGAAAGTTAGAGCTTAAATAGCTAAACTACTGATCTAAAATACTGTATCAAAGTACAAAAAACCTATCATTCTATGTACTGGATTACTAAGATACTAGAAGGTGATAAGATACATTTTAATCTCTCTCCCTCAATTTAACAAGGCAGAATTCATTGTATGATGATTGGTCCCAGTATCATTTCAGCCAGTGGTATTTTGCTGACCTCGGAGCTCTGGACAAAATTTGTCCTTCTTGTCTAGGAGAACAGAATGCAGCTCCATACAGTTACATAAACCTTAATAACCGGGACAAATCTTCATTGTTGCACCAGTGGAGAAGCTGTCGCAATGGAGCAAGCACTGATTTTTAACAAAACTACTTTTTAATTATTATTTTTGCAACCTGGGATTACCAAATCTTATTTTTTATTTATTCTCAATTTCTACTCTCTGTTTTGTTCTCATTTTATACATGAAGATAATTTATGAAATCTTCAGTAATTATCAGTGTTGCTTATGAAATATAAGAGGGAATGTTTGGCATCTATTAAAGCTGTTCTAAGACTGGATAACTTTCCAAAACCAGAGATAACTCAGTGTAATGCTTTCCAGGATTCCCAAAATAGTAAGAACATTTTCTCATGATAAAGCTGTATTTATTCTATGCCTAGAGTAGAAAAAGTAGCATAAATAGATGACTGAAACAGCATTTCCTAATATGAGATTCAGTTTTGCGATATGCCGAGTGCATTCAAAAACATACAGCGAATCAAACAGGAGCTGAAAAGTATACATCATTTCCCAATTTCAAACCTTTAACATTTAAGAAAACGTTTGCAATACTTGCAAACTACCAAAAAGTAATCATTCCCTTTTTATTGAAACAAACAAAATCAGCACCTGTAGAATCTCTCTGCAAAACATGTTAGCAAATTCAAGCAAGCAGCACACCAACCATTCCACTGGAAGCAGTATATATTTAAACAAACTATTCTCTTCACTTGGGTTCACAAAACACCGATAACATCTTTCTCTCATGATCCTACCTTGGCGATTTGCAAAGGCTGCTTTTGCTCCTTGCCACCTTGCAATCTAAAGCCCCAAGGCGCCCCTCCACTCATAGCAATGCAGAGATAATCCCCTGTGCCCATTTTCGTGGTGCAGTTAGGCAGCATTCATGTACAGAAGAACATGAAAAATTTTGTCTTGCAGATGTTCGGCGAGCCGGAGATTTGTCTGCCAGGCAGAGCTGGAGACCCAGAGCACCACACTGTTGCTGCTGCTGTGTACTGCACTAGCAAATGTAGTCATTCAGAAGAATGTAAGAGCTCCCTCGGATCAAGGGCACAGCCCACTCTTTCGTCAGATTTCTACGCTCAGCCCACCTTCAAAGTCAAGTAAGTAACGTTGAGGAAATGCACACAAAGAGACTCAGCCATACGGCAGAAAAGGCTGTATTTAAACATGACTCTCGCGACAGCTAAATCAAAACAACAGCAAAAAGAAGTGTACATTTTCCAGTGACGATTTAGGACGTAAGTTTACTTTAGTAAATAGTGCCAGACGTTTTAAACTCTTAGTTTACCCATTTTTTTGCGTTCATACTCCAAACAAAGAAGAAAGCAGAATCTCAGTGAAACATCATGTACATCCGCTGAATAAGTGATACATTTGTATTGAACTAGGTTTATGATTTTCATCTCTACCCCGCATGCACTTTCTGCAGCGCTGTGGGTATGCAAAAAACAAAACCCCACAACTTTATAATTTGCTTGTCTTCGAACTGTTTCTTTTGCTGGTTCTCTGTAACCTCAGTATAGTTTAACATGCACTGCTATTTAGCAATGACCTGAATTAATATTGGACCCTAATAATACCTGTTCTTATGCAGCCTGTTGCCTTTTCTACCAGAGAGGGGAAGAGGATTAGTGGAGTGAAGTATCAGATCTCTCTACTGATGCTATCGATGGATGATTTGCATTCTGTCATTAAAGGGGAACCTTACTATAAGCATGGAAAAAAAAAAAGATTCAGTGGGAAGTTAATTTGCTGGTGCCTTACTAGACCTGGGTTCAGTTCTGTTCCCCATTGCTGACTTGGGGTGATGCAGACTGTAAACTGCTGAGCTCCTGCAGGTCTTGTTGCAGTGGTTTAAGAGGTGACTGTTCTTCAGCAAGGGATGAATATTCCCCTAGCTGAGTGTTAACAACTGACAGTGTAAGAGCTTCGACTCGCCTCAGCGCAAAGTCCATGAGCTTGGCTTAAATCACAATGCGTTTGAACTAAGCTGGTTCTAAAAGAGAGCATTCAGCAGGTGGGCAGAAACATCTTTAACAGCCAGACTAATCTATGAAACAAAGACCTCTTGCTTCGAGACCCACGTCGCTGGGGGTTGATGTCAGATTCCCATAGCCTAAATTCCATGGAGGTCCCTGTATGAAGCGGTTTTGGTTGGCTGGTTCTAGGTCTTCTGAGATGTCAGGGCAACAGGAAACACCTGGCATTTAAGTTACACAACTTTGCATCTAAGGAGCTGGTAATTATTGAGGCTTTAAACCTAAGTCTGTGTGTCTTTAAAGAACATTAGGCAAAATATCAAGGTAGAGACAGGATCGTTAAACCGAAGTATTATGGCTGGAAAAAATAGGCAGGCTTTTAGGCCCTTAAGCCCTTCATCAGGCCTCTGAAGGCACTAAGGTAACCCAAAGATTGGGTAGAGACAAGCTCCCTAACCAAACAGAGGCAAATGTCACTCTCTAAATACCAGGATTTAGTAGGAGGAAGAATGCTTTCTTTATTGACTACCAGTCAGAGGCTCTAGAGAAGCAAAACAAGCACAGCTTGCCATATAATTAAATACATAAGGAAAACACTATCAGAGAAGCCATACTTAGAAAGGGAATGGTCTTTAAAGGAACTTTGCTAGACAACCTCTAAGTGAAGATGCCTCGTTTAAAATAACTCAGTTCAAGGTGGCTAACTGCTTCTTATTATGTTGTACAATGTTGATTTGTTGATATAGCAGAGAGTATTTTAGTCTTTCCTGAGGCAGAATCTTGCTTTAGACAAAATTATCTCCCTTTTGTTTGATGGACATTTTTATAGATACTTTTATGACAACAAAATTCTTAAGTATATAGCTGCAAAAAAATATTTTATGACACTCTTTTACCTCAAACCAGGACAGGTAAATACAAAAATAAAAAATTAAGGAAAATGTATCACATAACTATCAGCCCTTCAAATGTTTTACGTTTATGATGAAGTTTATACGTTTAACTAATTTTAGGGTGTTTTGAGCTTGTATTAGGCTGTCTTTTATCATTTTGGTAAAAAGAAATAATCAAATCTGATCTCTGTTTCATAACTTTGTATACTTATTGGAGAAAACAAACTAATGAGAAACACCTCTGCATTTGGACAGTCGGTCATATATTTGATGGGAGTTTGTACTAGATAGAGAAGCTTCTATCTCGTTTGGCCACATAACAGAACTGTTTAAGATGACAAAACAGAACAATCTTATTAGTCATTGTTCAGCTGAAAAAATAACCAGTCAGAAACCCGGATCTGTTTGATTTTGTTGTATGAAATAGATGAAATGTCTCCGTAGAGCTGCTGAAGTATCAGTAGTTGGTGTTCCTTGGAGTTAATTCCCTACCATCTATTGATGTCCTTAAGGAAAAAAAAAGCAGAGAGAAGTACTTTAAATTTGATTGTGTCATAGCAAAAAAAATAGCAAAATCATGCCAATGGTTTTGGCTAAAGTCACTATGTAAAACATTACAGAAATTTCTCTTAAAAGCAAACTTAATAGTTGTCTACAACATTGTGAGCTAGTTTTTTATTCAACTAAAGTTGAATACTTTAGTGTTTGTTTAATGTTCTACTGGCTTCTAGTCTGTGAAATCCACATGGCGCTCTAGAATTTAAATCATCTGTTGGAGGTACTGCCAACAACAGATAACATCATTGGTGCTTTTAGATCTCTGCTCTCCAAAGAAAAATGCTTTTTTTTCTCCTGAGTTTCTATATTATTGTGTAGTCCAGATTACTCCAGAACAAGTTGTGAATAGAATGTAATATTTAAAAAAAAAAAAAAACAAACCCAAAACCAAACAAACCCAAAATCTTTAAACTAACAGTAAGCCAGTATAATGACAAAGCTTTGTGGACATTTAAACCTGATACATTTAAACTGATAGAGGACTCTTTGCTTGAACTGGCAAGAATTGTGGTCCTGGCAAGAGAACAAAGAAAGGAAAAATAATTTTTTCCTAGTCGGTCAGTTGAGGGGGTTTTATAGCAACAATTCCAAACAAATTGCAGCTTTTTTTCTTCTGAGAGTGCATTTGTTGCTTGCTCCACAGTGAGAAAAACATTTGAAGTCTGTAACTAAACTATTTCCGTGATGGGAGACCCAAAGCTTCATATGTCCTAATCTAACAAATAATATTCCATAGGCATTAACAATTCCCATTTGCCTTATATGACTTTCTTAAATGCTTATGCTGCAGCATATCTTGCTTTTTTAATACTAGTCTTATCTTGTTGTACATTCTCTGCATCCTTTGGGATTTCTAAATGCTGGTCAGAAACTGGACATCATGATAAAAGTGGAGTCAGTCATGGGGTTTATGACAATTTGGTCTCTGTGGTCTCTATAGCATAAATAAATTGCATAAATTCTGAGATAATTTTGAGAATCCACTGAAAAATCTAAAGCTAATGGCAACCACAGCCACTCAACCACTGCCACTATCTCTACCATTTCACTAAATCCTGAAGATCCAATTCTAGGCAACAACTGATAAGAATTTTAAGTCACAAAAAATATATAAACTCAGCAAAAAATTTATTAACTCAGCAAATCACAAATGCCAGAACTCACCCAACATCTATCTGTGCCCAAATACACGTAAACCTCTGGCTTGAATTTGACCTTCTATGATGAGGTCTGTATGAAAAAATTTCCAGGTCAAACCACCACTTGCTCATCTGCTTTCAAGAACTGCCAGTTAAAAAATCTAGTTCATTAGCCTTGATGAGCTGCGACAAATTAAGAATAGCCATACTTAGACCAAAGTGAGGCCATCTACCCTAAAATGTTGTCTTTGATAGTGGGTGGAAAATGGTTGCTTAGGAAAAAGAATAAGAACATGGAAAATGCACAGTACTTTCCTCAGGCAGCCTCCACTAACTTGCACTCAAAAACTTCCTTGGCTGGATGCAGTTCCTCTGTACTTAGTAACAGTTATGAATTTCTCTCCCCTAAACCTTTCCATGTGGTTTCCTCTTGAGCCCCCATAACTTTTAGTATCTGTAGCTTATCGTAGGAAGTCATCCCTAACTACTTTGTGACACAAAGAATCACCTTTTCTTCTTTGAACCTGGATCCTACAGATTCATTTGCTGTCCCCTGCTTCTTTGAACAGCAGAAATTGTGACCAAGCAACCCCCAGCCACACTTTCCAGTCACTTATTTTATAGACTTCTTACATATCCACCTCAGTCATCTTTTTTCAAGAGAAGTAGAATAGAGTAATTAGTCATTCTTTATACAAAAGCTGTCTCGTACCTTCCATTACCATTGTTGCCTTTCTCTACATCCTCTATAGTTTTATATCCTTTTTGAGATGGGGGCCTGGAAGACCACACAGTCTTCAGACTGCAGACAAAGTTGGGATTTATACAGTAACATGATGATATCGTCTATTTTGTTCTCTAGTTGCTAACCCCAACATTGCTAACATCTGATTTGCTTTTTCAGACGCTGCTGAGTTGATGTTTCCATGCAACTCTTAAAATCTTAAAATCTTGTCTGATGATAGTCAGTTCAAAGCTCATTGTTTTATTTGTGAATTAATGTTTTTTTTCCCCAATCTGCATCACTGTATTCTTCTAAGCCATGTTATAGTATGGCTGCTTAGTTTTCTTAAAAGCCTTTGGTGAAGGAATTTGTTGAAAGCCTTTTGTAAATCCAAGATCAATCAAATCACCCTCATCCACGTGTTTTTTGATCCCCTCAAAGGACTGCCTTAAGTTTGTGAGGCAAGACTTCCTTTTATGAAAACCTTTTTAACTCTTCCCAGATAAGTCATATTTATCCAGATGTCCACTGTTCCATATTATAGTTTCCACCTATTTGTTT